ATAATTGAGAAGCACTGCTTTAGTGAGTGATTAATGAGATTAACCCAGATCATAAATTGACTGGATTTACCATCTCTAGTTCTATTTTACTTATTTGTTGTTTATATTTTATCTGTGTGTCACCCTCCTCCACCTGCCTTCCTGCATGTTCAGCAGTTGTGTTTATACTTGTGCTATTCCCTGCATGTCTTCATTTGTCTGTACTATGAAATTAGTAAAACCTCATAAAATAATGTAACTTTCAGAAAGTAATCACTGCTGCACATCTACAACTGATTCACTTTTGGAGTCAACCCAATACAAGATTGTCACTGCAGCGAAACAATCTTAGCAAACACAGAAATAGTTATAACTCAGTCAATTTTACAACTACTGAGCTAGAATTTGATGTTAGTAGTTAAAACCAATCTTCAACTTTTAATATGAACGATAACTTATCCTGCAGGATTTGTTTTAATATTTGATATTAACAACAAAGTAAAAGTTTACAAGACAGTGGTGAGACCAGCTATGTTGTCTGGTCTGGAGACAGTGGCATGGACAAAAAGACAGGAGAAAGAACTGGAAGTGTCAGAAATGAAGATGTTGAGGTTCTCCTTAGGAGTAACAAGGATGAATAAGATTAGGAATGAGATCATCAGAGGTACAGCACAGGTTGAACAACTGGGAGATAAAGTTAGAGAGACCATGGAGGTAGTTGGAGTGAGGAAAGAGGATGCAAAGGACAGAGTGAGATGGAGGAGGATGACTCGCTGTGGCGGCCCATGACTAGGGAAAATCCAAAAGAAGAAAAAGAAGATTTGCTATTAACATCTGGAATTAACTCTGTTTGTTAGCAACATATCTCATGAACAACTGTTTTTAGTGGAACCTTCAGAAAGCATTGTGTGTACAAGTATTACCTAAATAAAAATGGCCACCACAGCCAATTGACCTCAGCCTACATAAAAAAAAGACTTTACCTCTGCGATTTTTACAAACTAACTAAAAGTTGGTCTGGAGGTGGCTGTGAGTTATTCACAACACATACCTGGATCATAAACAGATCACACTAGATACAATATTGTGT